AGCTGGGTTCCAATCCTAGCTCTGTCCTTTATTAGCTGTGTGATTTGGGCAAGTGACTCAATGTTTCTAGACTTATTAGTAGAGAATGGGAATAATAATACTCAGTTTCGGGCGCCTGGGTGGCTCAGTTGGTTAAGCGAAAGCCTTCGGCTCAGGTCATGATCCTGGAGTCCCGGGATCGAGTCCCGCATCGGGCTCCCTGCTCAGTGGGGAGTCTGCCTCTCCCTCTGCCCCTGCTTGTGTTCCCTCTCTCGCTGTGTCTCTCTCTGTCAAATAAATAAATAAAATCTTTAAAAAAAAAAAAAGTGAGACATTCTTTGGAAGTTTTTCCTACACAGTTACTCTGTTTGAATCAGCCTTTGATCAGAGAGTAAACACATTTTGATGTTAATATGTTCTTCATATCCCACATCCAGTAGGTGGCACTCTTTCTTTTGCACTAAGATCCAAATACAATAAAAGTAAGGATGGAGAGACCAATGAGCCCAGCAAACCTCATCACTTTAAAATGCACTTTACATTTTCAGCTAAGAAGTCAGATGAGTATCTGAGTCTGTGAACCCAGCAGATAGTCCAAACTTAAAGCTAAAGCAACCTTGTTGTTGACAATAATATAGGTCACCAGGACATCTGGGAAAATGGAATAACTGGGTTGTCTCATCTGACAGGAAATTATTGCAGAGCTCTGTGGAGTTTCAATGCCTCAGGCGATAGAACAAATTTTTAGCTGATTTAAGAGTAAGTTCAAGAGTCAAGATGATGCCAAAATAAAATTTTTTCATCAAACCTCTACTGAAGCTGTAAAAACAACAACAACAGTGATTTAAGTTTTTCATCTCTTTTCATTTTCCATTTTTAATGGCATGGAGATTTGATAATAAGCAGCAAAACAATAAAAATATGAATAAAGAGATAAAAAACAGCAAAGACTAAGTGCCACATTCCGCCTTTCGAAGAATTTAAAGCACTTATGGATATCATCTCATACTGAGAGATGATATATTTAATTTTTCAAAGCCTTAGCAAGTAACTTGAATAATATTTGAAATATACACAGTTTGTTCTATTCTTTTGGTCTGAAAGGAGGCAACACTATACTCATCATCTTTTTCTTTCTTAGTATTTTCTTCATCTAGCTTCATTTCAAACTTGGTTGGGTTGTAGTTTATCCTTTGGAAGGAGAGGTGCATATTTATTTCCACCTTAATAACACCCCAGATTTTGTATTTGTTTCATTGTGTCTATCTCATTCCTAAAACATTATTCCTGGAATAAGATAAGGTAAAAATCAATAAATCAACCATTGTGGATAGATGACCTACCAGACTTTAATTCCCAGCACATTGATCACACAAATCCTTCTCTTCGTGTACTTAGTTTTTATTATCATTCATTAGACCATGACTGAGTGCCCCCAGGCAAGAGACATGTTTTATTCATCTTTATTCTACCTGCAAGGCCCAGCACAAGACTTAACACATGGTAGGTATTCATGTAATATTTATTTAATGATTGAGCAAATTAATTAATTAAATTGAATTTCACTTTCCTTTAGGTTTATGCCTCATAGACCTTCCAAAATTTACTCCCATCATATATAGGAGTTTATTTCCATACTTCAGTAACTAATATCCCTAGTATATCTACTTTTATTAACTCCAAAATTGTCCTGGTAACAATAAACCCCTATGCCCTTCACTTTTTTCATAGTCCATTCTTCCAACTATTAAAAAAAATCCAACAGGTATATATATGCTTCATTTTAATTTTACCACACCTGATGTTACCCTTTGTTCACATACTGGCCCCAAGTGGTTGCTGGGAGAAGAAAGGAGTAAACAGATAAGAATAAACAAGGATTTATTCTATTCTATACACTAATAGCCATATATGGTGGGGGCATGTTGCCTTTTCAGAGAGACATTTCACGATTCAGCTCAAGTCCTCAAATTATGCAATAAGAAGTTCAGATAAAAAGTCCTATAAATTCAAAAATAAATGTTTAAGCTGCTTTGTAAATGTCCAAAGAAAACTGATGTTATTATTGTGAGTTCAAGAACTACCTACCCTTCTGATTATGCTATTGTATTTCTCACTAAATTTTCACTGGTAAACAGGATTAATCTGTCTGGTTTAACCCTAAAAACTGCCTTTCTGCAAGTTTAGTATTGAGAATGATTACCATTAGAATCTTCCATCTTTGCCATCTCTATTCAATGCTCACATGGTTAATTCTATGCATGATCACAGGTTCTACCGATGAAAAACTACAGATACCTCTCTAGTTTCAAGTGTATAGGAAGAAATCCATCACTATGGGGAAGTTTTCAGTTCAGGTTTTCTTTAATTCATAAAAGAATAATATTATTTAATTTAATATTCTATTTTTCATTTTTGGCACTTTGGATAATTAGTGCCTAATTCTAGTCTTGATTCTTCCATTGGCGCCCTGTGTTAGTTTGAAAAATGAACTTTCTCAGTATTTTTTTCTTCATCTTTGTCTCTTTCCAGGTTAGTAAACTTTCTACTTTGGTTTTACTATCTATGAAGAAGAGAATTTAAC